CATCACCTGATCATAATATTCATCTCACTGCTTTGGTAAAATATATACCAAAAGAACCAAACATATAAAATACTACAAGCAAAAATCACAATTTACAAAACCACAAATTTATATCTCAGGGTAAAACACATCTTTTGTACTCACCGTCACTTTACTTCCAACTATCTGCATGCAGTGGTCAACGAAGAGTGGTTATGGTGTAAAAAAAAACAAACAGCAACAATATTAGTAGTCAGAAGCTTTTCACAGAGGTTAAGTGTTTAGTAAATTAGTAAATAGCTAACCCTATTTATATTTTTGATACTTCAGATATACAGGCTAAAATAGATATATCAATATTAATTTCTACTATGTTTCAAAACTGTGTAAAGTATACAGAATAAGGATTCTCAAATAAGTGATAATTACTATTTGAGGATTTTTTAAATGTACTATATAATGGGCTTCTCATATAGTATAATCTAAACCTCAAGTTATGCAAGGTTAAGTGTAATCAGGCATCAGATTTTTTTACCAGCTCATAGCCCCTGAAAAAATTATCAATTGTTTTTTTTTTTTTTCCCCAATATTGCCTTTTCTTTTCTTTCCTTCTTATGGCAGGTATACTATCAAGGTTGAAATAGTACACCTTCTTATGGCAGGTATACTATTAAAGTATTTTAGAATATAAATGTTACATTTAAAGTCATGCATTCAGTTCAGAAGTAAACTTTAGGTTGAAAACAAATATTTTTTATTGGTATGAATTCAAGGTGTATAATACTGTTTTATATTATACTTGAAAATTATAAAAAAGATTGCTTATTATTCTAGTTTTCTGGGTAATTCTAGCATTTCTATTATAAGATCAGAATTTTCTACATAACGTGAAGACAAAGAAGCATTTTACATCTAAACATGCACATGTTCAGAAGGAGGAAATAGTTCAAAAACTGCAGCTCTAATTGAGCTTTCCTAATGGATAAGTGATAAAAGAATTTCTGAGAGGTAGAATTGTGTTTAAGAAAGCAGGAAGTAAACTCATAGTCCTAAACATAATTTTATGCAAAAATCCAAATATAAATCAAATCACTGTTATCAGATTCCCACTTGAATATCAAGCAGTGTCCAAAAAACAGCTAAGCCACAATACAAAACCATTAATCTAATAGCAGTTATTATCAAAATGTGTTCTATTTTTCAGCTAGTGCTTTAGAAATAAAAATCAAATTTAATTAAAACCCCAGTAAGAATCCTATGCTGAACAGGATATCATAAAATACAAAAAGATAATGACAGTTTCCAAGAAAATTATTTCAGAAGAATCCATGAATCTCAGAATAGAGAAGCAGCTTTCTTAAATATTCATTCAGTAGACTATTTACAAGCAGTGATTATTTAGTTGAATAAAAGCCTCTTTGGTGCCATTAACAGTCTTCTGAATTAAAAGATATGCTATTGACCTAAATTATTTCCTCCCACCAAAAAGACAGAGGTCGTATTTGTCCCTTGTTTATTTAGCACAGACATGAGACTAAAAAAAGAATGTGAGCCTGCGTTAACAATTAAAGCAGGTCTATACTCAGTGAAACAACCAGAATATGGCCCATTTAATGATTCATTTTCGCTGCAAAATAACTTCATTTAGCTAAAGCATAAACAGCAATAGATAAGATTTAGTACCCAACAGAAGCTAAGAGAAAATATTTTGGCCATGTCTGGGTTCAACTGTTTGATCATATCCAGACCATACCTGGAAAAGACCTGAAAGAGTATCTGATAATGACAAAAGCAAAACCATAATACATGTATACACATACACATATAGGTATACTGCAACTTTTAACTACTCATTATACAGATCAGTCTAACAAATCTGCAGATGTAGCTGGCATCACTATTTTAAATTATTTCCTACTGAGATTTAAAAAAAAAATGTTGCCTCTCAATGGTTCACACGTCTCAAAAAATATAACTTTACATATTTTAAAATTTCAAAGATTATGATTTAAATTCAAAATAAAATAGTCTCTTGATATTCTAGGAATGACACTGACACTGGCATTTGACAAACTAATGTTGGGACTTCGGTGGATAACTTTTCCTCATAAACGTCTATATGTGCTGTGAAGTGCCTGTGAGATCCCTTCTAAATTACCAACATATTGTTTCAGGATTACCAATCAGTAGGACAACTTTTGCAATATTAACAAAGCTTGGTTTTCCATTTTTTGAAAACATATGCTGGTGTTTTGAAAATATAGACTCTTCCAGGTTATTTGTGGTCAAATTATCTACATGTACCTATTACCCTAGGTCAGGTCCATAACTACGCTTCCTACAATGAACAATGGACGCTAAAATGCAGAAAGAAGGTTCTTCTCCATCCCTCTATTTAAAGGTCATTCATCATGGACAGAGTTACTCAAATTTTTTCCTTTAACATTCACACAATTTAACATTCTCTATTATGGGACTTTAAGAAGAAAAAACTAAGCAATAGTTTTTATTATTATCTTATGGTTTCCTTTAGAGTCTCCTTTTCCATGCTAATTTTATCGAAGTTAATTACACTACAAAAGACTCTTGTTTGCTTTAGAAACAAGTCTTGACCACATATTGGTGTATAGCTTCATTTTACTTTTATGTCCTTACTCAGGAACCCAGGAGCATGATAGACATTTCTATCTAAAATTTGGTTTTAGATCCCATACAAAATGACTATTGCAGGTGTCAAAAGGGGAAAATGTACAATTTATGTTTAAATTTAACTACAATTCTCACATGTTTTACATGTGACTATAAAGCATTTTTCCATCAGGGACTCTAGCTCTTAACTTTGTTACCTCAAAATGAAAGCTGTGACTAAGAAAGCATTTTCATAAAGTAGTGGTAACTATCATGTCTACTCTAAATGTAAACTTTAGTGTTGTGATAATGAAAAGGTCAAAAGATTATTGTTTGTCACTGAAGGCCAACGCTCTCACCTTCAAAAGGAAATTACATAAATAATTTTTGTGGTTTTAATGATAGAAAACACAGTACTAATTAATGTCTTTCCAAGGTGAGAAAGCTCCAAAACATGCTTGTCAACATGCTTTCTTCCATCATAATATCTGGGCCATGAAAAATATTAGCAAAAAAATGTATACTCCTAGAAATCTTATCAAAGTCCTGTGCATATTTCAGGTACTCATATGTACACTGAATGAAACAAATAAAGGCCATTAAGTAGTTCTGATTTTGAGGCTAATGCCTTAAACATAGAATTTTCATGTCTTTTGAGAAACATTGAATCTCCATCTTTTGAATAATGCAATTCAAGTGAGCTCATCTAATATTTATCCAATTTTTTGCATTTTAATCTGAAAAATGAGTATATAACTTGAAGTGTGCATTTCTTTGGTCACTTGAAGAGGAAATAATATGAGAATAAATGAAAACAAGTTCTGCACAGAAATCAAGTAATAATCAAAAGGTCAAGGAATAAGAGTTTCATATAATCATTATATTCAGTCCCACTTACACAAACAACAACAAATGAGTCAGAGACTCTAACAAAATCTTATCATTAAAACCACCACATGATTATTCATATATTATTATCTGTACTTTGCACTCAGATTCAGACATATAGATTTACTAGTGTATCAGCCTTTAGGTATTTGAAAAATAACATTGAATGTACATCCTGCATTTCCTAAAGCATTTTACCGTGAACAATAACTTGAGTGCAAAAATGAGAAGAGATTCATCAGAATTTCAAAGTAAAACCCTATGCATCACCTAATTCTATTGAAAACGATGCTCATGGCAAATTTCACTTATCACTTGAAACATATTTCTGCCCTTGGATACCAGAAGCAAATTAAAAAACATGCTGTTGCTCTGCTATGGTGGAGCTGCAATGTGTTATGTTTAAATAGTTCAGCATTCAGATTTAGCTTGCTTAAAGTACAATATAGAATCAATACAATCGTAGAATTCACGGCAAAATGCATTAGTAATTGCCACTGGAATTGCTGTACGAAATAGCATTAATAGGATAGCCAAATAACTTTAGAATATATTTTTTCAATGAAGATTTGTTTTCTGCAATGGTCAACTTATGAAATTTAAAACGCATGAGCTAAATGTATACGTGTGTGTACACATATATGTATACACACAAAATATCACTGTGTGTGTGTGTGTATATATATATACCCACACACATATACACACATGCAGTGGTTTTATGAACTCTAGGTATTAAAAGCTTTTTCTTTACAGAAATGTAAAAGATGCATTTTACTATTTCAAAAATACAACTTTTTCTTATCAAAAAAAAAAAATCAAAGCTTAAGACTATATTTGGATGTGCATTAGGAAGTGAACAGAGCAAAATACTCCACTAAAACCAAAGTTTCCTATTAATAGCAAGTCCTTTCAATGAACTTTACTTTCAAGTCTTGGGACTCACAAACAGATTTGATTAAAGCTCCTATTAGGTGACATCCTTTACTTTAAATGAAGCTATACAATAGCAATTATGAGGCAGCTTACATAGTTTGCATCATATAAAATTAAGAAAAAAGCTAACTGCAAATTAAAAAATACTGCTCTAAGTTTCATGCAAGTAGACACCAGACATGCAGCTTTAATGTAAACTTAAGCTGTGACTATGCTAAGTTGTGCCTTCTTCAAAATCCGAAATTTTCATCTAACCACATTTGGAGCAGAATATCTGTAAAATGCAGTCAATTTTTAGTATGTACACAAAAGCTCAGGACTGGATTGGATTACCTCAGAGCTTCGTATCCTTTGTCTAGCTTGTTATAATGGAAGTGTCTCATTTCTAATGATGAATAGTTTAAAAATATATATTTAATACTAAATGTAATACATATATAAATTGTTTTCTGAACAGTCTATGGAGTACAATGAGGTAATGTGAAGAGCTGAGGTTTGTTTATTTTTAAGTAGAATGATGCTAAGCTCATTGCTCATTCTGTTGGTGCTAGAAAAATCTCCCTACTTACAGATTTGGCAGTGGCAGAAATATACTGGACAACCATCTCACGTTTGGTGGTAAAATCTTTGTTTCGTAAAGGAGCTTTTTTTTCTTCATTAAGGTTCATGTCCTCCTGTAAGAAATAACATATACTGTGAGCATTGATAAACTTCCACTTAAGAGCTTCAAAAGTGATTAATAAACATTAATAATTTCTGTGTCTTCAAATACTAATTCATGTGGTGACTAACGTCAAAAATCCCTTTCTGGGATACTTCACTATTATTTTTCACTCTAGATACCAGTGTTGTGTAAATGGTACCATGTATTCATGGTTCACATCTCTACCTAGCCAACTACTGAGCAGAAAGAAGAAAGTATTTTTAAAACCATTCCACAGAATAAACTGGCAGTTTATAACATAGATATACACGATATCTATGCTAACAAAGCTCTTTATTTATCTTGATAGCAAACACACACACAAAATGCTGTTTGGCATATGCTCCCTTAGGATCGCTATTATCTGAGAAAGCAAATATAATTTGCAAATTGGCAGGGTCTATATATCTATAATATGTCACTGAAGAAAGTTCAAAAGAAGTTGTTGGATTTGGAAAAGAAAAAAAGCAGAAACAGCTGTATTGCGGTAATAAATGTCACTCATTAGAGGGAAAAGTATTCAGTTACAAGAACACATTGTTTTGAGGTTCAATAAACTTTAATTCAGTTGGAAATCTACCTTTATTTTGTGATATATACATTTATAACACTTTGACTAGACACATTGTTTTTGTTCATTTTGAAATTCATAGTAATCCTTGTGACATATGAACACACGCTTGACAGGGTCACAAAACCAAGTTGGAAATGATTGTGCTTCAAAATGCAACACCAAATGAAAAGTCAACCTACAGAATAGGTGAAAATGTTTACAAATCATATGTCTGATATAGATGTGTACCCAGATATACAAAGAACTTTTACAACTCAATAATAAAAAGACAAAAGTCCAACAACAAATGAGCAAAACACTTGAATAGACATTTCTCTAAAGAAGATATACAGGCCGGGCGCAGTGGCTCACGCCTGTAATCCCAACACTATGGGAGGCCAAGGCAGGTGGATCACGAGGTCAGGAGATCAAGACCATCCTGGCTAACATGGTGAAACTCCATCTCTACTAAAAATACAAAAAATTAGCCAGGTGTGGTGGCGAACACCTGTAGTCCCAGCTACTCCGGAGGCTGAGGCAGGAGAATGGTGTGAACCCAAGAGGTGGAGCTTGCAGTGAGCTGAGATGGCACCACTGCACTCCAGCCTGGCAAAAACAAAAAAAAGAAGAAGAAGAAAAAAAGAAGATATACAAATGGCCAATAAGCACAGGAAAAGATATTCAACATCATTAGTCAGTAGGGAAATGTGAATCAAAACCACAATGAGATACTACTTCACTTCTAGTAAGATAGCTAGAAAAAAAGAGGAAAATAATAAATGTTGGCAATGAATTGAAGAAATTGGAACCTTCACACATTGCTGGTGGGAAAGAGAAATGATACAACCACTTCGGAAAACAGTCTGGCAGTTCCTCCAAAAGTTAAACAGATTTATCTACCATATGACCCAGTTTACATACCTAAACAAAATGAAAACATATGTCCATACAAAAACTTGCACACAAATGTTCACAGCATCATTATTGATAATAGCCAAGGAGTAGAAACAATCCAAACATCCATCAATGGATGAATGGAGAAACAAAATGTGGCATATCATACAATGAAATATTATTCAGCTTTAAAAAGGAATGAAGTGCTGATACATGCTATAATCTGGATGAATCTTGAAATCACATTATGCTAAGTGAAATAAGCATTATAAAAGATCACATATTCTATGATTCTGTGCATATTAAATGTCAAAAATAGGCAAATTCATAGAGACGAAAAATAAATTAGATGTTGCTAGGGCCAGGGGAGAAGAGGAGGGAGTTTGGATTATGACTGATTATGGGTATGGTATTTCCTTATGGGGTGAAACAACTGTTCTAAAAGTTGTTGTGATAGTTTCACACTCTTTGAATATACAAAAAAAAAAAAAAAACTATTAATTTGGCCATGCACAGTGGCTCACGCTTATAATCCTAGCACTTTGGGAGGCCCAAGAAGGAAGATCACTTGAGCCCAGGAGTTTGAGACCAGCCTGGGCAACATGGCAAGACCTCGCTTCTACAAAAACTTTTTAAAACTTAGCTGAACGTGGTGGTGTGCGCCTGCAGTCCCAGCTACTTGGGAGACTGAGGCAGGAGGGTCGCTTGAGGCCAGGAGGTGGAGGTTGCAGTGAGCTGTGTTCCTGCCACTTGCACTCCAGCCTGGAAATCAGAGCAAGACCCTGTCTCGAAAGAAAGAGAAAGAAAGAGAGAGAGAGAGAGAAAGAAGCAAGAAAGAAGCACATTGTAAAAGGGTGAATTTTATAGTATGTGAATCATATCTACATTTTTTAAGGAAAAAAAATCCGTATTTTTATCCCTTTACTCTTACAGAAATTCTGAGCATTCTATTTTTTTAATAAAGTAAACTAATTGGCAAAGAACAGTATCAGTTACTTTTTATTATTATTATTATTATTTTTTTGAGACGGAGTCTCGCTCTGTCGCCTAGGCTGGAGTGCAGTGGCGCGATCTCCGCTCACCGCAAGCTCTGCCCCGCGGGTTCACGCTATTCTCCTGCCTCAGCCTCCCGAGTAGCTGGGACTACAGGCGCCCACCACCATGCCCGGTTAATTTTTTGTATTTTTAGTAGAGACAGGGTTTCACCGTGTTAGCCAGGATGGTCTCGATCTCCTGACCTCATGATCCGCCCACCTCGGCCTCCCAAAGTGCTGGGATTACAGGCGTGAGCCACTGCGCCCGGCATCAAAGTTATTTTTAAAGATGCATATGTGAGAATGTGGAAGACAATCCTGAAAGTAGACAAACTGCATCTATCTATTGAATAGTAACTGTTGACAGCAAAAATCTATATTTGCAACCACTGCAGCAACTCCTATGATGATTCATTCATAGTCAATACTTATAAATTTTGTGTGTGTATATATATATCTATATATATATCACCTCTCTTCCTAATTACCTGGATCACTGTCTCTATCCCCACTTTTCTATCTAATGTTATTTCTCATTTGGATATTTTACTTGTTAATGACTTACTAGAAGGCAGAAGACATCTTTTTCCTCTCTCTCTCTCATAGGCTCTGGCATTGTTGAATCAAAGTAGAATCATCGAAACTAGGTTGGATAGCACTTATAATGTGGTCCACAGATGCTCATCTACGATCTGTATCTATTTCCTTTTTTTTTTTTTTTTTTTTTTTTTTAGGTGGAGACTTGCTCTGTTGCCCAGGCTGGAGTGCAGTGGCCTGATCTTGGCTCACTGCAACCTTCGCTTCCCAAGTTCAAGTGATTCTCCTGCCTCAGCCCCACAAGTAGCTGGGATTACAGGCATGCGCCACCACACCCAGCTAATTTTTTTGTATTTTTAGAGACGGGGTTTTGCCATGTTGGCCAGGATGGTCTCAAACTCCTGGCCTCAAGTGATCCATCCGCCTTGGCCTCCCAAAGTGCTGGGATTACAAGCATGAGTCACCATGCCTAGCGTATGTATCTATTTCAACTGACAGGGAACTCCTTACCTCCTCAGGCAGCCCCATTCATCTTAGGGTAGTATAATTTTTGCCAAATTTTTCCTTCGATGACTGGACATGAAATATGTACAACAAAATAATGTGTGTTAAGGTGGGTGGCATGACCTTTTTTCTTCTCTACTTTTAAAATTTTGAATCACTTATTTACTGAACACATACTACACACCAGAAACTATGCTAGGCTATCTAATCTGGTAGACTGTTTTTACACTCAAATTAAATATTTATAAAGCACTTAGAACAATACCTGATAGTAAATGCTATGTATGCTTGCTGAATAAATAATTTATGGTCTAGTAGTAACAAATAATTCTAACTGAGGCATGTATCAGATTCTTTGAAACCACAGAGGGCAGATGGAAAGGTCAGAGATGTCTTCACCAGGTTGTGAGTCTCAAAGGATGAAAAAAATCTGACTGGAAGGAGGGAGACCAGTCAGGAAACTCTAGTGGTCATGTATCATGTTTTGCTGCCCAACATCACTTGAACATGCCCTCTACAATTTAATACATCCTCACATTGTCAGTCCCACCTGACAAAGGTATAATCTATAAAAACTACATTTGTCAGTCTCCCTTTTAACTAGAGTGCAGGCATGTGGCTTCGTCTCCACCCATAAAATGCATGTATAGGAGGTGTAGATTTAGAAGTGAACTATGTGAGGAAGCAGGCCACAAATAGGCCATCCATTTTGCTGATGTAGTTGGCAACAGAGGTGATGTTGTTACAGAACTGATGGCATTAACTGTGTCTTTTTCTTTAAGACATTTTGATCAAATGGTTCTGGGATAAGAGCTCCTTAATCGGAACTGTATTTCAGTTGTGTGGTTCTGGAAGTTATTCCTATAATGTTATCTGGAGCCTGTTTCTGCAACTCTCTTAATTCAAGAACTACCTAATATCCCCTAAAATTATATTCTATTTAAACCTGCCAGAGTGGATTTTTCTTATGTTCAATAATTTGGGCTGAAGTAATTTAAGTGACTAGAGATAAGAGTCGAACTAAGAAGAAATGTCAGATTGGACAGAAGGAAATTAATTCAAGAGCCACATAAATGTTATTTGAAGACCACATTCCTTCTTCCAGGCTAAAGTACTCAACTTATCTTCATGTAACATGGGTTGGTGTCCACATCTCTCTCTCTCAAATACTCTGTGGTTTAACAAATGCAAGGAAGGAAAGAACGTCCACCTCCCTCACCTTGAAATACTTACACCTCTATTAATTCACCCTCTGATTTTATTATCTTACTGGCTAAGTACATCATTCTGCTGACTCGTATTGTTTTTGTTTTCATCAAAATCCCTATGTTCTGCTCACATATGCTGGGCTATGTCTCTATTGCCTAAAAAAATTCTGGTTAAATTTCATTCTCCTGTAAATGTGGTTATTATCAATCTGCATCCTCCAAGTAGAATCAACTCTGGAAC